ACCGCGGGGCAGGCAGGTACGAAGCATGTCATCCGCCACGGCCGTCAGACTTGCTCTCTTTGGGTGCCCAGGCCTGGTCCAAAACTCACCGTCAGAGCCGGAGATACTCTTCCCCGCCCCCCGGCTCGACTTCACAGGTCTTTGGACGAGGCTCTACCTGAGGCAGATTTCCTGCCACTCTACTCATCAGTGACGGGTTAGTACTCACGCAGCAGCGTCTTCATTTTGGCTGGGTCCTCCTACGTGGGGCAGGACAGGGACACACTCTGCACACAGTTCATTACACGAAATATTCACAACGCACAGCTGCACACCAGCTTCTGGGCTGGATTTGACGACAACAGTGCTTGAGTGCGGGTTTCCTCTTCTAGGCATCGGGAAACACCTTCTCTTTTATAACCCATCATGTAAGTAAACAGAGCACGTGCCAATACCAAATCCTTAAGGTACGCTGTGTGCTCCAGTCACCATGCATAACAAGCAACATCCGCAGCACATACGACAGTCACCGTGAGGGTGTCACATCCACATCACCCCCACTCTCGCCACTGTACTACGCGCAGTGCCGTTGCCAACACAGTGTCTTCTGGTAGCTAATCTCCTTCATGGGATTCAAGGGGACCGAAGCAGGATTTTGACATGCTAAGCTCTAAGATACCAATTGCAACTTCCCAAAGATAGAAATGGTGTTGCAGAATGTATCAGTTACACAGACACTCTGCCACCCCCTGCAAAACAGCCCCTAAAATAAACACAAGTGTAGACAGCTCCAAAATCCTTTTTTATACTGGCCACCGTATTGTGTTGCAGTTAGTGAACCATTTATTATGAGGAATTTGAACTTTTCCACTTTCCCGACACAGATTTTCAAGAACAGTTGTGATTTTTTTTATGTTATTTTTCTTTGATGGCCAAGTCCTTCACACCAGCATCTTCTTAGGTGTACCGTCCACATGGTACATTCCTCTCCTGTAACTGCATTCAGCAGCATGAACGTGCAGAACTGCTATGTGCAAAGTCATTTGCTAAAATAGACTAAGTGAACACATACGATGTTGAAAGGCTTGGGGGGAAAAAAGCTTAGAAGTGAGAAGAAATGTTAAAGGGTTTTATTTGATAGTTTTGCCCAGTTCTGGTGTTAATGTGCAACAAAATAAAAACGTACCGAACAAGGGTGCATGCCCCTTGAAGCTGCAAGACAGACCTAAGAGGAAATCACCAGTTTCTAGATCAATGAACTACAGATATGACAATGACCATGTTGCTAATACAAAATCCCAGAGTGTTAACTAAATTTTCCGTGTGTCCTAGACAAATTACAGGCGCTAAGGCTCACAAGCCAGCACTCAACCCAGCTGTTTAATCACAGCAGTAACCCTCGATGACTTCAGTAGGGCTACTGAGGTGTTTAAAGCTAATGTGTTTAACACTGCGGGCTTAGGCCTAATCCTTCCTGTGATTGAACTGATGGCACTCACGCTTAGTTCCAGTACTAATTTTTTTCATGTCCTCCCTCCTTTCTGGCTTCAGCCTGCTCCTCTGGTCATGCACCAGGTTGTTAATATCCCTACTATATCATAACAAGGGATTTGTTCAGTGTGAGGGGCACAAAAAATAATGATGTTACAACTTAATTTATGGAAAAAAGTAGAGCATTCATAACATTATACAGCTATACAGCTCTCCGATTCCTGAAAGATCCCATAGCGCATGAGGAACAGTACACATACTGCAGCTTGTCAAAGCTTGGCTGCAGATCTGAATGTAGGCAGACAGGCACAAAACGTATCAGCACTGGAGGTAACAGCCAACGAGACACAGCACAGGAGAAGCAAAGTTGGTTTTGACCAAAGAGTCTTGGCCCAAAGCCTGTTCTTACTGAAAAGGGAAGAAAGAGCCAGCAGCTAATGTTAGGATTGTAAGGAGGGATCTCCTGGATGTTTATCAGGTACTATGTCACATAATCTCCTTTGAATTATGAAATTTGCTCATGGTACATCAATTGTTGTTTTGATGGAATTTTTACTCATTAAATTATCTGCGGTCTAAGACACAATTTTTTTTCAAAATCAGACAGAGCAAGAGAGTGAAGGAAAACACCAGCCAAAGGCCCAGAAGTTTGGACATTCACCTAGGAGGTGTTGGAGGTAGGCTCAGATCCTTTCTCCCAAGCAGGCAGTAAAAGCTGTGTGATAACCTGGTGTGTAGGAACCGTACAGGAACATACAGT